GGGAGAATTGATCCTCTGAGAGAAAATCAGGTGAGTGGGTTCTGGTTGGCCAGACACAGCAGGGTCCCTCACAGTGTTGTTTCTCCTTGGCAAATGCTAAAGGTTAAATACCGGAGTGAATAACATCTGTGTCCCACCTGAAAACGGCTACCCTCAGCTACCAGCTTCAGCTCTTCTACCCCTTCTCTGCGCATGCCCTTGCCATCCGGGGAACACCCACTTCCCCACGCAGGCAGGAGGGACAAGTGGAAAGAGCCCCAGGCCGCAGGTCAGGCCCGAGTTCTAGCATGGCCCATGTGTGAACTGCGGAGGCTGTTTGTGCTTCTGCAAAATAAATACAATCAAAGCGATCTGCTCCATCTATAGCAAAGGTCGAAGTGGCGAGTGGGACGATGCTTTACAAGAAACCAGCCTGAGCCCACGTGGTGAGGGGGAGGGAAGGGGCCTGTGGAAGAGGAAAGTCGCCAGGGGCCTCATCAATGATGAATGCTCCTGTGAATAAATAATTCAGAGCTTTGGGGATCCTTTTAGAAGCAGTATGTTTCCACTCAGCCCAGCCTGCTGAAAATGTTTCCCCAAAGGTGCATCTCCAGAATCAGACGCCTGTGCCAGGCCTAGAGATGCGGGAAGGCCACCTGCTGTGTTGTCCTCCTGGGAACCCAGGGGACTCCTGGGCCCCAGGGAGTCAACGCCTGAGCTCCCAAAGGGCATTCTTCTCGGGGGCTTCCTTCGCCATCTTTCTGCCGCCAGCCTCCTCCACATCCAGAGCTTGCTCAGCTCCCAGCTCCACTCACCTTGTTTACAGAGGTTTTCCTGTCCTGTCGCCTGAGGGCAGGATTGGGTTTGACCCACTCCCATGTCCTCCAAAGCCCAGTGCTTAAAACAGGAGGTGCCACCATCTTTAAAGTCACTCTCTTTAAGTAAATTCTTTATAGACAGAGACGTTGCAAAGGCCATGTGGCCCGCTGGACTGATTCAGTGTGAACGTACCTGTGTTAGCAGGGCCCAAATGAAGCACAGAGATGTGACCAGCAGCCTGGATTGTTTATCACAACCCCAAGTTAGCTCTTCTCCTGACTTCTGACAGCAGTGTGTTGCCCATTCTGAAGTTCATATAAAGTACATTATTTAGGTTTTTTTGGAAGTGGTTTCTTACACTCAAGTAGGCTTGTGAGATTTATCCATATGATTCTCATTGCTGCATAGTATTCCATTGTATGGTTCTGCCAGCTTATCCTGGTGTTGACCAGCATCCAGGCTGTTTCCTGGACTGCCTATTACCATTCTTCTTCCTGTCTTTTAGTTAATGTGTATGTGTTCCCCTTGGGAATGATTTTGCATGGTCAAGGTAAGTGTAATTAACAGCTTTTTAAATATATGCCTGCATGAGTGAATAAAACAGTCTACAACAGGCAGAGCAGGGCAGGGGGTTGGGCTAGGTAAAAGAGGAGGTGGCGCATGGCACCCCTTTAATGGGTACCCGAGCTTGCCTCAGTCAGGGGTGGCTGGCTCAGGAACCTGGTGGATCTGCAGTTAAGCAGCTGGTGGGGCCCGACCTTAGCTTCACACTGGACCCTTTTCTCCATAGCTGAGTGAAGCCTGTTGCCCCTATTTCTACCTGATACTTACCCCTCTTGAAGGTCAGGATTTGCTGCTAATCATCTTGGGGGGGCCATGTTCCAGGACCTCATGGCTTGCCCACTCTGGCCTCCTCTCTGAAAGAATCAATCAGCCCATCCTCACCTCCACCTGAGATGACTACCATCAACTCCATCCTCCCATTGCTGGTCACTCCATGACCCCACTATACTCTTTCTGGGTTGCTATATGCATCAGGCATAACATGGGGAGTAGGTGAGATTCAGGGAACATACTGCAGCTCCAGGACACAGATTCCTGTGACTCTGGGATTATGGGTAGGTTATGGGGTGAGAAGAAATCCTTTGGGAACTGGTCAAGAGAACCAACCCCCTTGGGATCCCAATAATCTGAAAACACCCTGACGAATTCCAGCTGGACCCATTGATCTTATGCTGACCACCTGGTAACCTGTCTGGAGATACCCACTTGGATCTCACATTCATCTAAGGCCTTGGGTTCCCTGGGAAACCCAAATCTCTGGTGGTCCTCCCCATATACTCAGGGCAGCCCCTAAATCACACCAGAGTCACCTCTTGTTATCCTAGATTCCCAGGTAAAACAGACCCCTGGGATCCCTGCACAAATCCCATTGGCCTCAGTAGGCCCACTCTCCAGGCACTAGGTCTCCCCACCCCAGGTCTTCCCAAGGACTCCTGGCCTGACTGTGGCCTCTTAGAGTGACACTGCGATGAACTGAGGTCCTTTCCAGATACTTGGGTGTGAAAAACTGCTTTGTGAAATTTGGCATCACAGTTCACAGCAGCAGATTCCAAATATGCGGGCAGGAACTCAGTCCTTTGTCTGCTCCGAGTGGCCCTGGTGTTCACGGCTGAATGAGTGCACTGCAGCCCCCTGGGGTAGACGAGACCCTGGAGTAAAGGCAAGTCCAAGGCAGGTGACGACTGAGGACCTGCAATAATTGAGGGAAGGTTTTGTCCTAAAAGACCCCACCCTCCTGGGGCTGGGAGGAGATGGAAGCAGCAGATACCAGAAGTGCTAAGAGCCCAAGTTCCGAGAGAGTTCTTAGACCCAGGACCACAGTCAGCACAAGGCAGCATCTGGACCTCGGGCCAGGGTCAGGGCCAGGGCCGGAGCAAGCCAGGTCGGACACAAACTCAGAGCGATTTGGCTGCCAGGGCAATATCAGGCAATGCCCAGGGGCTGAGCTGTGGCTGCCTGATGCCCCTCCTAGAGCCAGAGTTGGCCTCAATTCGGGGAGGGGCTGGGTGTGCCAGCCACAGCCTTGGGGCCTCAGGTGTACACAGGAGAGGGAACAAGCCTAAGCAGGAGCAGGGCTGGATTTGGAATCTGGGTGCTTGGAGCCCTGGCCCTGCCACTTACCTGCCGTGCACAGCTTACTTACCCAATGGTGGGCTCGGCTCTTGGTTTCTTCAGCCATAAGCTCATGCAACCGTCCCGCCCTGCCTTGCCGCAGAGTTGTTGGGTATGGCAGCTAATCTGACATGTGGGAAAGTGCCCATCCAGATGCCTGGTGCTCTGCTGACCCTCAGTGCTGTGTGTCTTGTCACCATCTTACCCCTTCTCTCTCCTTGGAATAAATCATCCAAGGCCTGACACTAGGAGTCAGCTTAGGTGTCACAGAGGGGCTAAGATGACCCACCAGAGCCCGGTCTTTCTGCGGTCCCTGCCATCTCCAGTCCAAACACAGCGCTTCATACCGGGGCAGGGAGACACAATAACAAGTCCTCTCCGCTGGCCCAAGAACTTCCCAGCCAAGCCGGAGGCCTGGAACGGAGTCACTCCTCAGTGGAGGTGTTTCATGACAGGACTTTCACCCCCCAGGCCGGGATTTAGTCTCTTCCTCATGTCTGGGAGCTGCTGCCTGGACTCATCAGCTTCACTAGGTTTGATTCTAAAAGTAGCATCAATTCATTTTAGAAAATTAGGAGAGTTCAAAAAAAGAAAAAAAAAAAACACCATTACTCTCTTGGCGTATTTACTTTGCTTTGCTTTTCACTTGTCCTTCCATCAAATTCCCCGATCTGCCTAACTCATGAAAACTTCCATCGATGTCGAGTTGTCCCCCCTTGAACCTCACTGTAAGCCTCACTCCTGAGGTCCTGCCTTGCCCCTCCATCCAGCACAGAACTGGGGGGACACCAAGTTATTGCCAGTCTCCAGTGATTCAACTGGAATGAGGACAAAATGCTCAGTTAAAGTTCGCTGCAGAAAGTGTGTGTGGTGGGCATTTGGAAGCAGCGATGATGAGATGTCCGCTAGAAGCTGGCAATTCAGTTATGTAAAGAGTTGAAACAGCAGAGAGCACAAACAGTAGATGAGATCTGAAGTCACTTTGAGGAAGGCTTTGAAAAAGAAAGTTATCTTTTGTGAAGGAAGAAAGCGCGTTTAGAATGCTAGTCAAGGTGTGATTAGAGCATTAATCAAAGCACTACGATTTTGCAGGAAACGCTCTGTGTGTGTGTGTGTGTGTGTGTGTGTCCGCGTGCGCACACTGGAGGAAGGGCTGTGTGGAGCACAGCAGAGGAGGAGAGGGGAAGGACACCTGTGGGTGTTTCTCCAACACCGGGGAGCAGCCACACTGGGAAGCGAGGAGCCTAGAACAGGCACTGGAGTGGAACACCCCCTGCCATCTTCCCAGGGTCACTGAGCAGCCCGACTCAGGCTCCAGGGTGCTGAGAGGGGTGGGCGGCGTGGGTGGCGATGCAGATAGAAGGCCAGGGGCATGGGCCCGAGAGCCAGAGTGAAGGCTTCACACCCTGACTCCCACGCACACCAGATGTGCCGCTTTGGGCAAAAATGTTCATGTCTTGAGCCCTTGATGTGTGAACTCTTCCTCAGAGGGTTGATCTGAAGACCGCTTGTAGCAAGCAGTAAGGTGGCTATTGAGCTGTAATTATTAGTAATATTAGCAGTGATAGTATTACTAGTACTGATAATGAATTTATTTAGCAATCCCTAGTAAAATTATTCAAGTAAAAGTCACGCCCAGAAGCTGTTCTTTCCTGGGTATGCTGAATTAAAAAAAGGAGTCCCTGGCTTTGCCTCCTGAGGCTTGGGTCCTGGAACTTGGTGAACAGCGGGACTATGCCCCCAACACCCCGCAGGCTGTGGCCGGGCCTGTCTAATGTGGCATGTATGCAGCAAACACAAAGCTTGTAACCGTGAGAGAAATAAATACTGTTTGGGGGTGGGGTATAAGTCTGATCTATAAACCTAATGTAGCTAGCCCAAAAAATCTTACTACAAAGGATTCTTGGAGTGATCAACAGTGACCTTAGGTGTATATTATGGATAATAACACTTACCTGCGCTTCACAAAATTTTTATAGAGTTTAAATGAGATAATATAAACTACTCGCTTCCCAGCACAAATTAAATGCCATACAACTATTTCACATTCTTCAGATGTAAGTTTTTGTTTTGTTTTTCTCCTATTGTGTTGTTACTTAAATCAAACAGAACCTGTGCAAAGGCGAAGGGGGAGAACATTCCAAACTCCAAAATACCAGATTTGTGCCAGTACAAAAGAAAAAAAAAAATCACATTTATTTTACAAGGTAGTATTTTCCTAAAGTATTCTACATAAAGGAAAGTTGAGCTGTCTGTAGGAAAACAATATAATTTTAGGAAATTACAGAAGGTCAACATTGTGTTTCAAATAGACAGATTTAAAAAATAGCACAGTAAGTGAATATTGCAAGGTATGGACAGCTTTAAAAAGTGTTTATGAACATAACGACATGGAAGCGCAACATGAAACCTCTAGCGATGACTTGCTTTCAGGCTTGCTCAGAGTACTTGAGCACTGCTTCAATCTTAACAGCAAAAAGAACTCAAAGCACTAGCAGAAACAGGGCCCTCTCCTAATACAGGCAACTCTTAATTATCCATCCTAATGAAAGGGAGTGGTGACAGATGGAGTTTCAAAAGGCAGATAATTCCAAAATTAAGTTTGCAAAGTGTCCTTGTACTTGCGTTTTTGGAAGTGAGGAATACTGACTTCTCTGGAATTCACAGCACTGCTAGAGTGAGTAGGATTCTCACTTCCTTCTCCCCTTCTCAATGGAGGGACACAGTCACATGCCACTGAAAAGCCTCAAATATAACTGGCCTCCTTAATTCGGGCTCACACCTCCTCTGGAGAGGGGAGTAGGAAAGAAAACTGGTAAAGCTTTGTTTTCCTCATGTTAAAAACCAAAACATGAAAAAAATTGTGCAAACAAGGTAAAAGAATCAAGAGCCCACTGTATAAATATTAACTTGTGCTTTTTCCCCCCTTGCCTAGTAGTATTTATACCTCCAAATGGATCTGGGTATTTTTGACAGCTTTCTGAATTGTCTGGTTGCATCCTATTACCCAAGTAGAGAAATTTGCATAAAATAATTCTGTTATGATTAGTCCCAAAAGAACTGTGATGTTCCAAATAGGCCAGGAAGTGGCGATTAATAAATAAAACCACCTGCTCCGAGATGGAGTGACATCCTATATCAAATCCAAAAAAGCACACAGGAAAACAACTTTGGGGTCAGTGCTGGTTCTGGTGGTTCTTTCTTCTCTATTGGATCACCTCGAGCCACAAAGCTCCCCTTCCCAAGAAAACAACTGTTTTTCTTCTGGGTTTCTCTCATTTCAAATCTTGAAAATTATAAGGTAAAAAAATACCTGGACTTGATTGTAAAGCCTTATTTCTTCATACACCAGAAGCATTTTAAGTGCTTTGTTATTTCTCAGAACAGTTATGAGCAATTTGAAAAGTCTAAAACAAATTTTGGTTAGATAGAAATTCTACACAGCACTTATCTTGTATCTTATACCTTCTACTAGAATAGCCTGAACATCAACTTTCAAAGTGGGGATGGCAGAAGGTCCCACAAAAGCACAAGAAAGAAGTTTCTCCATCTGCACCACCTAGCCCTTTGCTCCAAGTGAGCACACAGGTCCAAATTATCAGGCTTTCATCTCTCTCAATGTACAGGTTTTAACCAAAAAGCTACTGACATGATTGTGTTTGATGTCTATAATACATATTGCAGTCTAAACATTTTCTAAAGTGCCTATAAATATGCTTATACAAATGTGCAATATAATATTAGGGTTACAGAGAAATTCTTTTATGTAATATAGAACAGAATAGGCCTAGAATTTAAGATGAAAGGACACACAGGTTTACACCCTAATCAGTTGTTTTTGGAATGCAAGCAAAAAGAAGTATTTCTGATTCAGTCATATATGATTTTCAGAAAATTATTATATTGACTGTGCTAGGCTTAAAAAAAATTCTTGTTTGTGCTTGTTTAGAAAGGGTTATTTTGAGATCCAGGAGCATCTGATATTTAGAATCCAATGAAACATCTCCATTCTATAAAATAGGTAACAGTAAGTGAAGTTTAGTGAATTTTTAATTATAAAGAGATTGTGCAAATATTTAAAGTGATTATCAACCATTATTAAATGCAAAAATTCCATTAAAATTGTGGCTAATTTGAATGGCAGTTCAGGGGCTTTAAAAATAGGAACCTAGGTAAGAGGTGTAGGTATTACTGATACAGGCTCCACCCCTCAACACAGTCAGCCTCTGCCCTGTGCCACTCATTTCCGTGGCTTTGGAGACTTGGTAGTTGCCTCCAATTAGTTTAATGAGCAGAAAAGCAGACCCAGCGCAGAGAACTGATAGGAACAGTGTACAGAAAGAAGACACTCATGCCCACCAGGGGATTCAGTGAGCTCACCCTAGGGGTAGGTGGAGCGAGGCCCTGTGTTGCCATATAAGCCTGAGCACGCAGAGCTGGCTGCGAGGCTGTGGCCTGTCCAAAGCCGTTAGTTGGTTTTTCACTCCCAGGGAGCACTGAGGACACAGGCACGCTCACTGGCCGTCCCAAGCCACTGGGGCAAGCCAGGTCAGTTCAGGAGAACCCACCCCTGCACCCTGTTTCCACCTCCCTTCTGTGCCATGCAGTTCCTGGAGCTTTTCTCAACATATTCTTGGTGTGACTTGTTGAGACTTTACATTTTAGTAAGTGAAAGCTTTATGCTGCTAACTCATCTAGCATAGAAAAGTTTTGACTAACACTGTTTTCAAAGGAATACACATGTTCTGCTTTCTAAACCCTATGATTTTTTGGGTACCTAAACCTAACAGAATGTTCTAGCCAATCACTTGAACAGCACATACACTGGGAAAGCGGACTCTGCCGGGAGTGACTGATAAAGGATGCCAAATTGAGGCTCTGGGAGGAAAACGCCGGGCCTCTTCTTAGTTCCTAAAATACAAACGAATGTGACATGGAAGAGGCGTGGCGCGATGCTGCTGGCGCACGAGACGATGCCACCAGGGCGCACACGTGCTCAGGGTAGAAGGAATCTCTCTCCAGCTCTGGCGGCTCCCGTCCCACTAGGTCGTATTTTACATTCCTGAACTGTCAACTATGCCTCATGGAGAGTAGATCTGGAGAAATGGCAGGTAACCTACTCACACAAGGCCACCTCATATAAATGGAGATTAGAAGTAAAATTCTGAAGAGACCTAAATAAGAGAGAATTACTCGCTATTTGTGTATGAGAAAAGAGAACATGTACAACAGACCATGACTATTACTGTAGTAAAGTGAACAAGTATTACACAAAATATTTTCTCCTTACTTAGCAGCAAACTATTTCAACTGCTTTTGCATCTGCATAAAAATTCATGCATCATACTGAATTCTAATCCATTACTCACCTAAGCCATTCTAGTGCTTCATACAACCAAATGAAGCAGAATTAATCAAACCTATTAGATTCATTCCTAATCCCTAAAGGACTGCTGTCTTTAGCATTTCCATGCTAACTAGAACTATGACTGATTTTTTTTTTTTCTTAAGACCTCAGATGTGGCTGCCTCCTAAATATAATGCCTATATAATTTCCAAAAAAGTTCCCCAGGTTTGAAGAACGATTACGAAAAGCAGGGAAATGGTGGGGAACCTACTTGAGGGGCCCTCTCAAATGCTCCCCAGCCAGGCCAGGCCAAGTGCTGCCTGTGTTACTTCCCCCATTGAACTGTGTGCCTCTTCTCCTTGGGATCGGCCCTTATGCCCACAGCACCCTGCAGAGCATGGGTGCTTGGCTGAAGCTGAAAGGAGCATGAACTGAAGATGCCATCTCTTCTGAAATGAAGGTCTAGTTCAGCCCCGAGTCATGGAGAGTTGTGGAGACACTGGTCATTGCTAGGGACCGAGCTGGCCTCCAGGAGCCTCCTGGAAGTAAGCCAAGGCAACAATGGCCCAGACCAAGTGCAGGTGGGACGGAGAAGAGGAGAGGGACACGGCATTTCGCCAGTGCAAACTCTGTTCTCGTAAGTGAGCTGATTCCCAGATGGGACTAGCTGGGCAGGGGGTGCCTGTAAAACTTCCCAAAAGGAATGCCAGAGTTTTTCTGTGAAGAACTGGCTTTTTTTAAAAATACTGTCTCATTCACTCTGGGAAGCTCCTCAATCTAGTCAGTGATACTCTGATCATCATTTCATCCCTTTCAAAGTTCCCAGTGAAATTAAGGCTGGGTCACAATTCATGACACCAGATGCTACATAGAAAGTAAGGTACAAAAGAAAACTGTTCATAAGAAAAAGAATGTCTTAGTTATAAGACTAATTTAAGAGTGAAACTAATCAGCAGACCACTGAACTGCTAGGGTTGTGAGGGGTAGAAAATACCAACTGCATCGGAAAAAGGATCCATCAGACAAAAGTACAAAAGCTCAGCGGGGCTTGGAGTGTGGGCTCCAGCCACCTCACACGGTGGTTTCTATGGTCTCGATCACTTCCAGGTCAGACTGTGAGGGGGAGAGGAGGGTGCACTCGTCAGGCTCCCAGCTGCTCTCTGGACTGTAATCTTCCTCTGAACTCAGTTCTGCTCCTTCTTCTGTATCCTCATCACACGATTCCACATAGTGAGCCCCAATCGCATTGATCCCAGAGTCCTCAGAACTTGAGGGAGAAGAGCAGTGATCTATTTTTGGTGTATTGCTCTCTTTTGAAATTAAGGCATTGTGTGCAGAGACCTCCTCGGGGCTCATTTTGTGGGAAGGTGGGGCCAGCTGCTTCTGCACATAACACATCTTCCCATTAATACATTTAACCTGATAGTTGTCGATAAAGAGGTCTGAAATCATACAGTACCTTGGAGAATCTGGGGGGAGGGGAGGCTGGAAGACCGATGCAAATTTCAAAAAGTGTTCAGTGAGTGAGACTGAGATCTGGATGGTGTTTGTGGGTTCCCGGGGCTTCGCAGGAATCTCAGTGCTTGGAAGCTGTTCCACAGGGGTCATAGGCTGATACACGTATTTGCCTGTGGGGAACACAAAAAAAGGTCGTGGGAATCTAAGAGTATCATACAAATGACATAACACAGTCCTTAATGGGTTCTTTCCTGAAGACTCAGAACGTTTTTCAAAATATTTCAGTAACATTTTGAAGGTAGGAACAGAATCATTCAACATTGTTGTATCAATTTATAATAAAGCATGGTACATAAAATCAAGGTGTTTTCATCTAAGAAACTCAACACACTTTACAAATCTTAATTTATATTTGTGACTGCCTCTGAAGCAGCTGGGTGGAAACATTAAATGCTCTACCCATCATACTAAAGAATATCCATGATTTGATATGTAAAAACACAACTTATTAAGCAGTATAATTTAAAATTGTAATTCCGGGGCCTCCCAGGTGGCGCAGCGGTTGAGCGCTGGGTTGCGAAGCTGCCCGCGGCCTCTGCGGCACCGGTTCGATCCCCGGCTGCTCCCCGGCCACCGGAGGAGGGTCCCACATGGCGCGCAGACCTCTCCTGCCGCCCGCTGCTCCCCTCAGCAGTGTACTTCGGTCCTTCTGCCTGCTCTGCTCCCCGCTCTGGCTCTGGTGAATTCTCTCGCCCTCCCGGCTTCTGACTGTACCCAGTGCATGTATAAACCAAACAAACAAACAAATAGATAAATAAGACATGCCTCTAGAAAATTAAAAAAAAAAAAAAAAAAAATAAAATTGTAATTCCATTTTATTCTTTAATCATTACGCAATATATATTTATAAACTGGAGGGATACATACCGATTTACTATGAAACACTTTGACTCTTTAGATCTCTATATATTTTGATCAGAAAACACACACATACACACACACACACACACACACACACACACACACTTAATGGGTAACTACAGGGTAGTCCTGGTCACCCTCAATGGCTGAAGTAGGTAAGGCTTAGGGTGTGAAATAATCTCTTTCAAGACCCAGAGCTCATCAAGAAGCTTATCTCCAAACCTTCGCCTGTGCTCTGAGCTCCGATCATGCAAACCTTATGGTCTAATAAACACATAAGCAAGAGGATAGATAGACCCTCCTGGCATAGGATAGACCCGCCAAGCATTAGGGGCATCATCAGCTGAAGGGGCAAAGAAGGCAGACCTTCCAGCCTCCCCTCCAATCTTCTAGCCCCAGCATCAGAAAAAGACATCTCCAGTCAGGGGCAGAGAAGGGACTTGGAGAACCCAGGGAACAACTCCCTTTGGTCCACAAAGTGGTGAGCAAAATATTCAGAATGAAGTTTTGGTCTTTTCTATTATTGGCTGGTGGGCTGGCAGTTACTAAGTTCAGGGGGCAGTGACTGGCAGCCACTCAGGCAACGCTCACTGTAGACGACTGATTAAATTCATTCCAGTCGAAGTGAACTGGGGTTTAGTTATCCACTGGCCACAGCCATAGGAGGTCTTTGAAATTAATCTTCAGACCCAGAGGGCTCAGGCCAATATTTGGTCCAAAGATGGAGGGAATCCATGAAGCTTCTCCACCCCTCCCTCTCCCACTCCTCTCATTTTCCCTACTCCCCCCCCCTTTGTGCTTCTTCATAATTTCTTTGCTGTTTCTCTTCTCTTCTCTTCTTCTCTGTTCAACCTCTTTTTCTTCTCTAATCCCTTCAGCTCCAAAGCTTTTTCCCTTCCCTTAAGTATAGTAAAGGAAAGAGAAATACAGTAGGGCAAGGAAGATGTACAGTGGGGTCCAGATTCCGTCCCCTTTTACAGTTTACACATGTAGTAAATATGCTTGCTCAGAGCAAGGGGGGCAGCCCCATCTCTCCTGATGCGGGTACATATGTCGATGGGGATGCAGATGCCCAGAAAGTAAAGAAAAGACGTCAGATGAGAAACAAAGTTTAATGAACATCTTTCAATTACCCATTATATGATACTAAGCTATTTTACTTTATTATAAACACAGAAATATTAAATTCATATCAAGCATTTAGTATTGTAATGAATCCAGAGTGGTTAGTACTTTGCTCCAATTCCCACAACTTCTACTCTGTAGTTCACTGTGCTATGAATGCATGTTCACAATGATAGCCCTGCAGCACTACAAGATGCTGAATTATCGGAGATTTGATTACGTCTACTCTACTGTACTTACCAAGAAAATAAAGCGCACTAACACAGTTTTGCAATAGGAAGGGTTGGAACAAAAAGGTTTCTGGTCACTTAGCCAGGAAATTCAATAACCACTGAACTCTAGTCTCTAAACAATCCTCTTCATTAAGGGTTTACTGTGTTATTTAAAGAAAGAAATAGATAGGAACTTTCAAAAAGTTAAATCTCTAAAAGGCAAAGATACTCAAAAAGACTCAGGCCTTGAATAAGAGTAAAAGAAAGATCTAGATATCATAGGCTCCAGCAATTCCACTTTTGGGTATACAGCCCAATGAACTAAAATCAGAATCTTGAAGAAATATTCTTAGCAGCGTTATGCACAATAGCCAAAGGTGGAAGAAACCCAAGTTCACGGATACTTGATAATGGAATGGATAAAAAGTGTGGTACATACATATGTTGGAATATTATTCAGCCTTAAAGAGTAAGAAAATCCATACTGTAACATGAATCAAAAGACAAACACCAAGTGATTCCACTTACATGAGGCAATTAGAGAAGTCAAATTCGTAAAGACAGGAAGTAGAACAGCACTTGCCAGGGGCTGGATGGTAAGAGGGAATGAGAAGTTGTTTAATGAGAATAGTTTCAGTTTTGCCAAATGAAAAGAGTTCTGGAGCTAGATGGTGGTGGCGGCTGCACAGCTGTGAGAATGTTAATACCCTGAACTATACACATTTGAAAATGGTGGTGACTGTTAGCTTCTGTGTATTTTACAATTAAATAATTAATTGGTATAAATCACTGTATTAATAGACTGGAGGGAAAACGCCAAATGATCTAGAACATACAGAGTCCGTACAATTCAAAAAATAAGAAAACAACCCAATTTTTAAAAAGAGGTGTGACTAGTAAAGGCGACATGAAGGTCCTCGTAGTGTGGGAATGCCTTCGGACGTGACTGTCACTGCAGCGTCTTGGTTATGAACAGAACTAGTTTGTTGCAAAAGTGGGTAAGGAAACATGGGATATCTGTTTTTCTTAAAACTGCAACTAAATCTCTAACTTTTTATATATATAATATAATTTGAAACAAGTAAGTGACACTGCACCCTTTTCAGTGCATTATATCAGGAACACATGCTACTGATCTATCTCATTAGAGATGATAAATTTGAACCCTTGTTTAATGTGGTTTCTGTCAAGGTTTTTCCACCAAAGTTAGTTATGTCTCTCTTTGAAATTACTACATATCATGTGAAGAGATATTTTGAGGTGATGCAAATATCCTGTTTTTCGTCCTGTTTTCATCGACTGATTTTAGCATGCATAGGTGGATCTGGTGTGCAAAAGTCATTACTATGGTGTTTGCCAAACAGTGGCTTTCTATTTCCATCCTCTACGTTTGTTAATTAGATTCCATGTAAGCAAGAGCTGCTCTTCTCCCTCATTTATTTGTTCAAGTACTTACTTACATAAGCTGGGGTGCAGAGATATTTTATTCATTGAATTGTAATCTGTTACTACCATTACCTACTTATTGCTCAGTTTGTCTCAGATCTAGCTCTTAGAAGCTTCTTCAAGTCAGCTCCTGTGTCCTTTCAACATACCCAATTCCTTTTCTTCTTTTCCTGAGACTTTCGTACTTTCTGGCACCAGAAAGTGTTACTGGCTCATCCTCTATTTGCCCTGCCCCATTTCTCCAGGGAGCCTTAATTCTATCTAGCTCCTTCTAAAAATTTACACACACACATTCTTCAGTTTGGTCTCAAAATAATCCTGTGAAGTCAAATCTTAGTTTACTAATGACTCATTCAATCACTCATAAAACTCATCCACAGAAAAGTGAAGACTAAACCTTATACAGTATTTAACACCCATTTTAAAAATAACATCAAAATAAAAATAAACTTCACTAACCCATTAATTTATCTGGACTCTTTTCCAAGGGAGCTGAAGCCACTTTCTCAATAGTCAGTCTGATTATACAACAGTGAGTAACATCACAAATATTAATTATGATCATTAACTGAAAAATAAATTTCATATATCCAGTTTTTCTTCAGGGAACCTTGACTCAACACTTTAATCAGTGGTCTCTCAACTAAAGACCTGGCAAAACCAGTAAATAATTCCACCATTCTTTTAAAGTCTTGGTTCGTAATTCTGCTTGTTCTTCCCTCTGGTGTTTAGCAATAATATGTAGTACATACATTTCTCACAAATCCTCAGTGAGATACTGAAAATATATGTTCTCTTTCCTGATTCTTTGGAGCAGAGGAGAAAGTGAAGAGGTAACTACTTTTGCAAGCTAGTGTGACAACACAGACATCAGTTATAGGACCTAGGTCTGTGACATCCTCTGTTCTTTTATTACTTCATTAATAATTAGGTTCATATCAGGCCTTTATCAGTTTACACTGTCATTCTCTACCTTTAACTTCTGCTAATATTCCAATTTGTAGCACAGTGTAAATACATAGCAGATATATTTCCCTGGAGGGAAGTGTTTTTGTTTGGTTTTGTTGTTGTTTTGTTTATACAGCACAAAGTGAAGAGGGAAAAACCCAAACAAATGTAGAAGATAATTTATATGCCTTGCTAAGCTATTGCATGCAGTTTGTCAAACTATTCTTTTTTTAAGGATCAGCTGTGCATTTTGATTCTTGAAAAAGGTCCTTTGGGGAAAATGAGCATTTTGCTTTTACAGACAGTTTTATGACTGTGAAATGTGTGTCCTCTTGACACATGAAGTACATTGCTTTCAGGGAATACAAAGTAATTTAAAAATTAGCCTAAGTAAAATATAATTAGAAAGGTAAATCTACTGGAAAAAAATTAAGTAGCCAAAGGGAAACTGCATCCACAGTTCAGTTCTTTGATTTTATCCAGTGAACTATAATTATATTGATGGTATTCCCAAGAGC